AGAATCTAGAAATGTTCGTACGGACAGCAATCTATCTCCACGCCCCCCCCCCAACCGCACACTAAAGGTACTGTGTTCTGGCTTTGTTTGGCTGTCAATCTCAAAGGATAATTCTCAATTCAAGACTGTAGAGAAAACAGGAAACATTTCTATACCCACCAAACATTCATAATATAAGCTGTGAAGTGGTATTATCCATTACCTCTTGAAGTGACTTAAAGATATCAGTTGGTCTGGTACAAATACCGATGTACAAGATACTCGGTGAATATTGTACACGTAACAGTAGTAGTAGTAGTCTACAAGATATTTGTGTTATTCCGTTGCAAAGCATACGCGGGAAAAACACGCACAGATGTTCTCGGTACGAGCAAGACGCCATTTAAATTTAGTTTGTTCGTTTAGTCAGAACTTTTCAGCACCCCTTCATATAGGGAGTATTTAGCCAAAGTATTTCAACAAACATTCATATTGTATTTCAACGCTTCGTTTTGAGAGTTAATACAGGAACATTACCAAAGAAGGAAATGTGATTGCATTCATTGTACATTTCTGGAACGCTTTTTATAAACAGAATTGCAAAGTGATTTTTTTTTAATGATTAACACTCAATTATACACGTCGTAACCTAGTATAGATTATTGTTAGCCAACAATTGATCAGAAACATTTAATGTATGTGATTCACCCCTGACTCAATGAAGAAGATTACGTTTAAAAATTATCATTACTTCCCCACCACTACACTGCACATTATATATTACTTGTTTAAAAGTTGAAGAAAGAATGGTAAATATAGGAAACAGAGCGTTTGTCGACAGAAACAATGTGGACATAGGAATTCACACTTCTTGGTTACAGTTTTTTTCCTAACTCAAGCGATCATGAGATTAATTAATAAATGGAATATTTAATCCGACATTATTTCTTATTAAAACAAACGTTAAATTTGGCGTTTGTATGTCATTGAGTTGAGAAAGCCGATAGACATCTATATATATATATATATATAAGTTCTATCTCGCTTCTATGCTTTCAATACGATTTTCTTATAAATTCAAACAAGGACTGATAAAAAGCGCACTTTTTGAAGCCAGTATTGTTTGAGCTTCAATTTGAAGTTAAAAAATTTGGTACAGAACTAGACAGTGGAAAAAAGAATGATACACTTGATGTCTGACCCTTGAAGTTTGCTACTTGAACTTTCCTTTTTTTTTATTCTGAGTACAATTCAAGTCGTACTTGTTACCGAATATTTACATAAATTGAATGAAAAAACAAAAACAGAAATGAACCGTTTAACGTTTACTTTTAGAATAAACTTTTGAAATCTATTTTTGCCCTAACTCATCGATCAGCAGTAGATAAGACAATTATATAATACTCCAAAATAAACGTTAAGATATCGAGATATACAAAATTGTCACTGACAAGTCTAAGTTTAAATTCTGGTATATATAATAACTCCTAGTAATTCATGTCAGAATAGGTTTTTCAAAACAGCGATTCTAGTGTAAAATAATTTAACTAATTATTGCATTCAAACAGTTGCAGATGACGTATTCTAATATATAAAAGTCTTCTTCACTCCGATGAAAAACAGAATATATGCATAATTGCCAAAGGCTGACTTTAAAGTCTTGAAATGTTGAGAATGAAGAAAAAGCTGTTTTTAAGTTAAAACAGATTTTTTTTCTTTTTATTTACTTTGACTCAAACTACTTGAAAAAAAAAATCAAAGAAAAATATCAAAGGTCTTCGGAATCCATTCTGTTAGGCAACAATATGTTATCAGTGCATCGAGATGGCAACCTATTCGTCTATTCAGCGAGCTACATAACTGCTTCTCTATCTAAACCCACACACATCTCCGTTTAAGTATCTTTATATATCTGGTGACGTAAACAATCCCAAGATGCATGCACATATATCTAACACATATTCTGTTCATACCAACCTCAGTTTATTTCTGTGTTATCCACACACACACGTGTGTGTGTGTGTGTGTGTGTGTGTGTGTGTGTGTATAGAAGATGAAAGATTCGAGACATATAAAAACAATATATTGATAATACGACTAATAATATTTATTCTATATTAGTTGTTCTTTTGACCAAATGGAAGCATGAGAACGCTGTTAAAATGGGAATTTTCGGACACACTGAGTTTCTTAACAAGAGTGGGGAGAATTTGTTTTCGCAGGCGTTATATTACTGACAAGATTTAGTAGCTTTGAGCTAATTGCCACAGTTAGGCTTGTAGAGAGAGTTTTCAGAAGGTTTTTCGTGGAAACTATTCATTGGACATGATTTTTTTCATTGACTTACTATATCCGTATATTATAAGAAGCACACATGGAAAATCTTTCTTTACTATTACACAGACACAGTGAAAAGTTCAGAATGAAATTTAGCTAATAAATACTTTCCTACTTCATATATATATATATATATATATATATATATATATATATATGGTGGACTCTCCCGTCGTATTTGATGTATGAGTGTCAAGCAGCTCAGTTCATAGGAACCGACAGCCAGACACCAACATATATGATTTGATTATAGTGGTGAAGGTCTGTGCAGGACCAACCACACTTTTTGAAGGACTAAATACAGAGACCTGGTGTACTACGTGCCACAAGGTCCCCAAACGATGATCCTCAGGTTTTGAATTCAGATTTGTCTTTCTCCTAGACCAGTTGCCATGCAAGCCTATAAAAACCTGTCTGTCCTGTTATTTACCCATAGCTGAATAGAGAAGAGGAGGATTAATACCTTTAACATACGCTCTATCTCTGATATTGACCACTTTATCCCATAAACATTGCATACCTTCAAATTATATATATCAGAAATACAATCTCCCAAAGAACATTTAAGTTGATATACAGTGTTGGTCTCTAAGCTAGTTGTGATGGACGACTAGGTTGACTGTATTAAATTTAGCATAGTTTATAATTAATTTTTTTGTTTTTACTTGGACCAGTGGGGGATATATTAGTGTTTATGCTTGTAGTTAAATGCATTTGATTATGGTATAGTAGTTTGATACATTTATAGATATTTGTGAATGTATTATGTTCATTTTTATTTATATTCTCAATAGCTTGTCTAATTTGTTCTTTAACCATGTAATTAGGAAAGTCATTAATAAGGGTTTGTTTATTTTTTTAATTCAGTTTAGAAAATCATTCTTGTTGAAGTGTTTGCTTTTCTACGGCTTATTAAGTTTCGTATAATAGCAATTTTGTAGTAAGGACATTCACTTTTATAGTTGAGAGTGCACTTGTTTATGTTAGTTGTATTTTTTATAAAGGGAAGATATAAAACATCAACATTGTGTGTGTGTGTGTATTATTTCCCTACTAATTTTGTATGCGTGTGTGTATACATGCATGTGTATATATACTGATTTGCTTATTTAGGTGTACGAATAGTCTTAACAGTTCACTTTTAGAGCTTAACCACCATACGACCAACAAATGATTCGATAATTGATAACAGAAATGGTGCAGTGTGCCATGATATGAATTCAGTGTTCTATTTCTCTTAGACTTGTTGTTAACCAAGGGTCGAAAAGATATGCATTAATACCTTTCACAGATGCGAAAGTGAACGCAAAGACCTCGATCGAAATTTGAACACTGCATGCCGATCTCAGTTCCCGAAAAATAAATTTTAATTGTGAAATTGAACTCATCTGACTATTAATCATGAAATAAAATATTATAGAAGAATATCTGCAGTTCATGTGCATTTCAATCGTGTGAGCATAAAACAATTTAGCAACAAATCAGCTACCTTCGCCTATATGTGTATGTGATAGGGTGCTGGAAAATTCTCGGCCATACCTATTTCTTCAAATCTTACCAAAACATTATCTTTTTTTTTTTTAACGTTCAGTCTATGTATTCATTCACGTCAAATTGAAAATTACAAATTGAATGTAACCAGAGAATATCAGGGGAAAATATTTTCAATGATCAAATAAAACATTTTTTGGCCAGTGGCATTTGAGGGAACTTGTTGCAATTTTTGTTTATTCGATACGCTGGTTGTGCAAGTGAATTTTTCATATTAAAAGTTATTTTCATATTGTCAAAGATGATTAAATTTAAAGATACGCAAGACACCTGCCAATGTAGAATAATTGAACAACCCATTTTCTGGCATTATGATATATAGATATGTAACTATATTTGCTCGAAATACCCACTTCGAGTAAATTTGCGTGTTTGAGGGTAAAAATAATTTAATAGATTAACTATTAAAAAAGAATAAATATATCAATTGACTTGTTTACATGTCCCACTCACAGTCGTATGCATAGTAGGCACATTAGAATAGAGTTAGAAATGTAAGTATTGAAGATATGTTTAAGCAATGCAATATCGATTATTTTCTGTAATATCTAGATGCGATATTCGCTTGTCCAACGTCTCTCATACATAGGCAGAGAGAGAGAGAGAGAGCGCAGAGAGTGTGTGGAGCGAGAGAGAGAGAGAGAGATCGCAGAGAGTATGTGGAGCGAGAGAGAGAGAGAGATCGCGCAGAGAGTGTGTGGAGCGAGAGAGAGAGAGAGCGCAGAGAGTGTGTGGAGAGAGAAAGAGTGTGTGGAGCGAGAGAGAGCAAGAGTGCGCACAGAGTGCGCGCGGAGAGAGAGAGAGAGTGCATGTGTGGAGAGTGTATGCGCGTGCGCGTGGAGAGAGTGTGCGCGTGGAGAGAGAGAGAGTGTGTGCGCGTGGAGAGAGAGAGTGTGTGCGCGTGGAGAGAGAGAGTGTGTGCGCGTGGAGAGAGAGAGTGTGTGCGCGTGGAGAGAGAGAGTGCAGATGGAGAGAGAGAGTGAAAGCGAGCGAACGTGGAGAGAGAGTGAGTGACAGCGTGAGTGCATGTACAGAGAGTGAGTGAAAGCGAGCGAACGTGGAGAGAGAGTGGTGACAGCGTGAGTGCATGTACAGAGAGGAGTGACAGCGAGCGAACGTGGAGAGAGTGAGTGTCAGCGTGAGTGCATGTACAGAGAGTGAGTGACAGCGAGCGAACGTGGAGAGAGAGTGAGTGACAGCGTGAGTGCATGTACAGAGAGTGAGTGACAGCGAGCGAACGTGGAGAGAGAGTGAGTGACAGCGTGAGTGCATGTACAGAGGAGAGACAGGAGCGAACGTGGAGAGAAGTGAGTGACAGCGTGAGTGCATGAACAGAGGAGTGACGGCGAGCGAACGTGGAGAGAGAGTGAGTGACAGCGTGAGTGCATGTACAGAGGAGTGGTGACAGCGAGAGTGCATGTACAGATGAGTGACAGCGTGAGTGCATGTACAGAGGTGAGTGACAGCAGAGAGCGAACGTGGAGAAAGTGGTGACAGCGTGAGTGCATGTACAGAGAGTGAGTGACAGCGAGCGAACGTGGAGAGAGAATGAGTGACAGCGAGCGAACGTGGAGAGAGTCAATAAGGGAGAGAGAGTATGCAGGGGAGAAAGTGTAGATGTGAGAATGAGAGTGTAGAGGAGTGGGAGAGTGTGTAGAGAGAGTTAAAAATATAGAGAATGTGATGAGGGAGATAGAGGAGAGATAGTGTCCGGAGAAAAAGAGAGAGAGAAAAAAAACAAACAAAAAAACACCTGTCATGAAAAACGAATACTCGATAACGACTTTGGAATAAAGGCTTGTCTTCATCCCCAACAAGTTGTAGCTTCCTATATGGTACCGATAGAAGACAATCCGTTGCTCTTTCTTGACAAAAGCAAACGAATGATTCTAATTAGTACACATATACATTGCAGCCGAGAGCAAAAAGCACCCGGAATTAAAAAGGGCTTAATATTCGACCCGGATACACTTGACTGCATGTTTATTTCGTATTTTTTGAAGAAAAAAAAGTGTTACAATTTAAAGCGGAAGATTTTCAATTCGCCGTATTCAGCAGATATTGCACATCTATAAATAAATCTTCCTGGAAGACTGCAAAAATTTCAAATCCATTTCCTTTTATTCCGTTTTGCAAAGAAAGAAAATATTTTGGGAGGATCGAATTATAAAATTCACTGAAAAGATGACAGAAGAAACAAAACTAAGTTTATTATATTAGTGCAGTACGATATTTGTAGTTAGGTCTCACCATTTTGAAGTTGAAATGTTATATAGAACCGAAAGTTCTATGCTAACATTTTCTTTTCTGCACTTCGAGCTGGTGGAATTCTATCCTGGATTCTTGCTTTCCAGTCAACTTTGATCATCAAAAATTTAAATGCAAAGTTGATGGATATCTTCTGTCTTAATACCTGTTCTTTTATTGTTCTCATTGTTTCACACTGAGTAGCCCGTTGCGCCTGAGTAGCTTTATTGCATTGTTTGGACTGATATATATATATATATATATATATATATATACACGTCTTCTAAATTCCAAATAAGATGTTTTAGTTCAGGAACAACATACCAAATTTTGTTTAATGTATCCATCAGAATACTTTCAACTGTTGCTATAGACGTTAACGATATTTTCTGTTATAGTGTTATATAAATGTACTCGGATGTTGATAATAAATGAATCTTGTAAGGATGGATAGAAAAAAATAAATTTTGAAAAGTTAATTCTGACAGATTAGAGAAACATAAAAAAAAGTACATAAACCTTAATAATTTCTCCAAATCCTTAATGATCTTAAATTCCGTCCTCTTGCTTGCCAGTAAAGTTTGATCTTCAAAAATGTAATGTCAGTCGTTATCTTCTGTCTTAATACTTTTTCTTTTGTTTTCCTGTTATTTTTCTCGTATTTTTCACACTTTTGCTCTTAGCTGCTTTATTGCGTTGGTTGGGGGGAATATATATATATATATATATATATATATATATATATATATATATCGAATATCTAATTCATATGTTTCATTCGTAATTCAGTGCATATAAACCGATTTCTTTGCGCAATGTGTGTCCTGTATGATTTATGAATGGACTTTAGTTAAACTTAAACCATAGACTAAATCTACATGAAATTCTGAGAAAAATAGCTCTCGGCCGTACGACAACTTAGGAATCATTTTGGATTCAGAGTAGCAATTTCTAGGTATTGATCATAAACCAGTTAGACAGTGATCAGTACAAATTTCTCCAAGTTGAGCAAACCAATTATCTCACCACCCGAGAAAAAAATAATTAGAACGTTTTAACTGTACAAACTTTATAAAGTTATTCAGCTAAAATCTGTGAAGTCTTGAAACTCGTAAGTTGGCTGTTGAATTCGCAGAAAACGTCTACTTAATTCGTCATTCAATCGTGTGAATGTCTGATTCCTTAGGACATATTTGACGAGGCATTGTATCGCCAAATGAAGTTTGACATTAACACCATTTTCCGTTTACTCTAGAATATCCGGTACGAACAGGTTTTCCGAAATGGTAACGACGTGAAAATGGTATTGTAAATATTCTTAGATTCTAAATCTTTGTCGTTTTGTCGTAAAGAAGATTGTTTTTATTTTTTAAAACCCGTTGACAAAAGTGTTAAGTATCAACGATGATTATGCTGAAGAAATATTGTTTTACACTTGGCTTTAAAGAAATAAATGTAAAATTGCAGAAATAAATCCAAGACACAAGCATCTATTTATACGAGGGTCTGCTGAAATGTTTTCAATCCGATCCATTTCTAATCAAACAAGGATTTCATTTTGATGGGAAAAAACATTTAGTACCTGATTATGATAAAAGTCATTAGGAAGGTAACATCGCATTTAGATTATGCAAATATAGAACTAGTCAACAACAGTATCTAATCGAAGTGAATAAAAAGCCAGTGAAATTTAATATCAGTTCTTTTGACCAGTAAATGCTTACGGTAACCTTTTACCGCTCAGCAGACAATTACTTTAATGGGAATTATGTGCGTCATTATATATCGTGGGAGAATATGACAAGTAAACAATATCAGACAAAGAATAGATAGTTCACTGATGAAATTGAAAAAAAAAAAAGCACCTTTTCAGACTAAATGTTTTTATTGATGGCTCTGTGTATTTATTCTCAGAGCGAGAAGAAGGATTAAACGAAATGCAAAGGTCGGTTGCAATTACACATCCACACAAACGCTAAAAATACAGCGGGCGCTTAATTTTACATTTTCTGTACACAGAATATTAGAAGTTAAATTTAAAGACAAAAACTCTGCATTTTCAGTGTTTCTATTGATCCATATCATATATACTAGCGTATAGTACGAGATTTTATGATCAATTTTACGCCAAATATAAGGGTGTCGTACTATACACAGGTAATTTTTCTAGAGGAGTTAAAATGAATACCAAAAATTTCAGGGGTCACTCTATACGTCGGCTTATGCACGAGTATATACGGTAATTCTAATCGACGTTTGTCTATTTCGTCTCCCCTACGTATGGGCACATAAATGTTTTCATCGATGACATTATATACAGGGTGCGATGGATAAATTGTCGTAATTACGTAAAAATGAATATAAACACGGACATATCGATTTAAACATATATTTACCAAAATTACACAAAAATATCTTGAAATACTAAAGAGTAAATTTATTCAATCGCTATTGATTTCAATAACAGCCTCCAGACGAATTACGAGTCTCCTCCAACTCTCTTCTGGACTTTCTTCTTGTTAAATTGGTGAATGCTGCCATAACCCTTGCCTTCAGTTCATCTTTAAGAGGAGTTTTGGTGGTCTCCTGCTCAATTGCGCCCCACACATAATAAACAAGGGGGCTCCATTTTGGGGAGTTACAGATGTAAGGTGTGATGTGGCCGCAGAAATTGTCTGACAGCCATGACTGGGTTCTCCCACTTGTGTGGTATGGTGCAGGGTCCTGTTGTCAGACATAACGTCTTTCAGCAACCACACTCTTGATCCAGGACATCATTCCCCACTCAAGGCAAGTGATATAGGCCTCCGTGTTGAGTCTTAGGCCCTGCAGGAAGATGAATGAAGGCATAACGTCACCATCACTAATGATCACTCCAAACACCTTCGTAATAACCATTAGACTCATCCAACTCTTTCCGAATCCTCTGCACTCTCCTCTGATTGACACCCAAACAATCTGAAATGTTCATATTGTAGCTTCAGGCGCGAATGCCAAACAGTACAGTATGCAGTTTCCAAATTTCTGGGAGAGTGAATTGCATCATGGAACTTTCTCACAGACGGTGCCCAACTGACCTTACTATACTGTGCAGTCGACAAAAGCAAAAGCAAACGACGGGCATGCGCGGAATTAGAAATATAAAATGGGTAACAATTCATCCTCCATTGATACCCTTGTGGGTATATATATATATATATATATATATATATATATACATAATATATATATATATATATATATATATATATATATATATATTGTTATGGTGAAACACACCTATTCTATAGTTAATAGACCCTCCCACCTAATATAAGTAAGAGTAGTAAGAGAAACTAGTGTCAGTCGATGTCGGACGACCGGCTGAACGGTTAAACTCTCTGCCTTCGGGTGGAGAGGAACCCGAACGAGGCTACGACGATGGGCGGAGTCTCGTTCGGGGAAGTAAACCGGCCCTGAGCCCGTTTATACGGGTTCAATGGGCATATTTTTAGCCGAGCCCACGGGCTCGGAGATCCCACGTAAAACGGGCCTTGTGCCGCATGATACCCTCGTGGGGGGGTGAATAAATACTAGTCGATGTCGGACGACAGTAGTCGACAGTTAGTCAAATACAAAAGTAGTCAGCGACCACAATAAGATTACTCTGCGTAATACCTATTATATCAAGTTCCTAACGTTTTGTACGTCGAACTATTTAGGACTGATTTAGTACAAATATAAGCCTTCACTGCGAAATAACTCCACAACACACATATTATATATATATATATATATATATATATATATATATATATACATACAACACAAAGACGAGCATCCGTACAAATGAATTTAAGTTTTAAATTTAAAATAATTTTATCTGAGATAAATCGTGCAGTGATATTTAAAAAAAAAAACAAACAAAAAAACCAAAAAACAAAACACAATATTGCCAAAATTATGCGCTTTTCACATGGTTTTCAATGGAAAAATTACAACCCTTTTCTCCTGCCTTGAATGGAATTCTTTTAAAAACATTGCTACGTACGTCGGTGAAAAGATTATTTCTATCAACCGTAACTATTTTTCATAATTCCAAGTACTGTATCGCGATGACATTTCTTAAGAAAAATACCACACGGGAGAAGAACTTTGATAAAACCATATATAATTAAATATAGCTGAAGATGATGAAAAAAATGGTCGCTTTCTTGTACCGTTCCAGGAAAAACCTTACTACTCCTATTATGATCTATATTTACAAAAGCCAAATCAGACCAAATATGAACTATTGCTAATTTTTCACCCTCGAAGGACTTCAAAAGCTTTTGCAAGACCTAGTAGGTGATATGTTCTACCATACAATCGCGTTCCCACAGACGAAACTTTGTCAGCCTCTTGCTATTTTCATAGCAGATGTTCGGTCGAACTGCATTCCTTGGTTCCACTAGTTTAAAACTTCACATCCCAGACCAGCAATGCCATGCACACAGAGCATTCAGGTATCTCACATATTTTGGGCTTTGTTCCCTTATTCATTAAGTGAATGTTATTAATATGCTTAGACATGCAAAGCGAT